TGTGATTTTAGTTTCTGTCCACCATCTGCTTTTTTTTTTTTTTTTTTTCGGTACACGGACCTCTCACTGCCGTGGCCTCTCCCGTTGCGGAGCACAGGCTCCGGACGCGCAGGCCCAGCGGCCATGGCTCACGGGCCCAGCCGCTCCGCGGCATGTGGAATCTTCCCGGACCGGGGCACAAACCCGTGTCCCCTGCATTGGCAGGCGGACTCTCAACCACTGCACCACCAGGGAAGCCCCCACCATCTGCTTTTAAAGCAAAACAGAGAAAGAGAAGGCACTGTAGTAACAGAGGTCAGGGAAAACCGTGGCTCCATGATGTGTAGTGCTGTAAGGGAATTTACTTCTGGTGATGATCGTGAGCTGTTGAAGGCAAGGCCGCATGGAGCAAATGAACCACTGGGGAGGGTGTGAGCACCTACTATGAGCTCAGCACTTTGGTAGGGGACGCACAAGAAAGCACAAGTGGTCTGTCTTCCGTGACCTTCAAATCTGGGTGGAAAAATAAACCATGCATGGTTGGGGAGTCATTAAGCCCCTATGCAGGGCTCTGTGGAACTGAGTCCAAATGAGTGATGTGCCCTAGGAATTCAAAGCCAGGAGGCTGTCACTGTGGGCAGCACGGGGAAGGATGGGAAGAGTACTGTTAGGCACAGACAGGAGGACCAGAGAGCAAATTCTCCAGGAATTATTTTTCAAGAAGTGATATGGTCTGGAATTTTAATGAAATGAGTTCATCCTACTGAAGGTGCACTCCAGGAGAAAACCAAATCTTTGTGCATGGGGTCGTTTCAAAGAAAACAACAATCACCCCTCTTGTTTTGCTGTATCTGCTACTGGTATAATACCAGCATGACTCATAGAGGATTTTGACTTCTTCAGGTGCTTTTGGTTACATTGGCCTTTTACTGATAATGTGGGAGACTGGAAATACTGCCTTTTTTCTGACAAAAGCATTTTTTCCCCATGGCCAGCTCTTCTTGAAATGACACTTCTTTCTTGTTTATCCATGGCTGGAAAACTACTCCTTGCATAGGGCTTCTTTGATAATGATAGCAGTTTTATCTGGAGGGAAGTTGTTCAGGGGCTAAGAACTCTATCCCTTTATTTGGATTTTCTTATGTAATGTTTTTCTTTTGTTGCCTATGTTTGTACTTGTTCTTCCCTTCTGTACTTTTGCTCTGCTTGGTGGGATTGTCTGTCTTGGATTTTTGACTTCTTCTGTAGTTCCATTTTTAGGAGAATTATCTTAGAATTCCTCATGTATGAGATATAGCTTCACTTTTCTACCTTTACCTTGTCAAATCTGAAGTTTCTGGTCCAATGCAAAATGGTACAGTCACTTTGGAAGGCAGTTTGGTGGTTTCTTTCAAAACTAAGCATACTCTTCCCATACAATTCAGCAGTTGTGCTCTTTGGCATTTACTCCATAATTTGAAAACATATATCCACACAAGAATCTGCATATGGGTGTTTATAGCAGCTTTATTCATAACTGCCAAAACTTAAAGGCAACCAAGATGTCCTTCAGTAAGTGAATGAATAAGTAAACTGAAGTACATCCAGACAATAGAATATTATTCAGTGCTGAAAAGAAATGAGTTATCAAGCCATGAAAAGACATGGAAGAAATTGAAATGTGTATAACTTAAGTGAAAGAAGCCAATCTGAAAGAGGTTATATACTGTATGATTCCAACTATATACTGTTCCAGAAAAGGCAAAAATATGGAGACAGTAAAAAGATCAGTGGTTGCTAGGGGATAAAGGAAAGCGGAACGATAAATGGGTGGTGCACAAAGGATTATTAGGGCACTAAAAAGATGCTGTATGATACTATAATGATGGATCCATGTCATTACACATTTGTCCAAACCCATAGACTGTACAACACCAAGAGTGAACCCTAATGTAAACTATGGGCTTTGGATGATAATGATGTGTCCGTGGAGGTTTATCAACAGTAACAAATGTACCACTCTGATGGGGGAGGTAGATAATGGGGGAAGATATGCATCTGTAGGGACAGGAAGTATATGGGGAAATCTCTGCATCTTTCTCTCTGTTTTGCTGTGAGTCTAAAACTGCTCCTGCTGCTACAAGAAAATAAGTCTTTAAATATGAAAGAACATCCAAGAATACCACTGATTTGGCGAAATTTAGTAAATAGACTCCCGTATAAGCTTCGAAAATCATGTTATTCATATCTGTATGCAATGCCTTCCCTAGAATTTCTTAACTCACAATTTTACTTTCTAAAAAAGGCTCTGGCTAAATGTTTTCTCAGCAACTGATTTTTTTAAAAAAACAAAGAGGATAGTAAAGACTTTTAAAACTCCATTATAAAAGCAACGTATCCTGTGCAGCTCAGGAGTAGTAGTTCAGGAAGGGACCCCTCCAGTGGCAAGTCTACAACTCGCACGGTCCCTTCCACTGGTTATTGGAGGGATGCTTGAAAAGTATCTATAGAAGCATTGGATTTAATATTTGTAGCTAACAAACTTTATTTTGGTTTTAGATGTCTGTAACATGCAAAATATGGTAGGTTTTAGGTATAGATTAAATATGACATATTTTCTATATAGGGCTGGCAAGTCTAGTAGACCCAAAAGAGGGTACAAGGTACAAGTGGGCATATATATCTATCTGCGAACGCATATATAGTATGGACATCTTTCCAGTGGACTCAGAGGTGGACCTTGGCTGTGGACCCACAAGGAGAGATGCTGGGGGCTGGCCATGAAGGGGAGGGGCGTTGAGATGAGGGAGGGGCGTTGAGATGAGGGAGGGAAAGGAGTGGGACAGCTTTCAAGCTGGACTGAAGAGCCGAATGGGACAATGACAGGCCCTCTGAGCCTCCAGAATGTATATCCCCCTCCCTCCCTTCCACATACCCCCCACCCACCCCCCACCCCACCCCCCCACCCCCCTGCCTCCAAAGCACTGGAGAAGAGGCTCCGTGACTGAGCTGCATATTAGGTGACAGGAGAAATGGGCAATTGACTTAATCTCCCTGACCTCCAGTTCCTTATGTTTCCCACGAAGAAGTTGGATTGAAGCAGTGAATTTTCAGACTTTTCTTTTTTAAGAGTGATGCTTTTTGTTTTTTGCAATTTTGAAGTAAAAGATAAAGTATCCATATAGAAAAATTTTGAAGGATGAGAAACAAAACATTACTAAGCATCCGAAAGTTTCCCATAGTTCCCACCCTGAGTCCTGATTACAACCTTCTCTCACCCCACAAAGGAAATATTCTTGAGACTTTTGTGATAACCATTCATTTGCTTCTTCCTAAGTTTTATTGCCTGTATGTATACCTCTAAAAAATATAGATTCATTTTGCTGGTTTAAAAATTTTATATAAATGCAATAATTTTATGTTTTCTTTTTTGTCTTGCCTTTTTCATCCAGCATTGTGTTTGCAAGTTCGTCCATGTTGTGGCACAAACCTCTGGCTTATTAATTTCTACTGCTGTATAGTCTCCCATTGTATGAATTCACCACAATGTATCAATCCATTGTACTAAGGATGGACATTTGAGTTGCTTCTGATTTGGAGCCATTATGGACAACAGTGCTGTGAACATTCATATACATGCAGTCTGGGGCACATAGGTACACATTTCTCCAGGATACATATCTAAGGAGCAGAATTGCTGGTCATAGGGTATGCATGCCTCAAATTGTTTTTCAATGTGCTTATAGTAGCTCTTTTCCTCCCTAACAAAACCTGATGCATAAGGTCAGGAAATAAAGTAGATGACAGCACAGCTCTGATCGAAGCAGCGAGCAGTCCCAGGGTTGGCTTTCTCTGTATGGTCCCCTTGTTGGTGCTTTCTTGTGGGTCTAACACACCCTGTTCTCCAACATTCTATTTGCTTCTATATTCCCTCTGTTGCTTTAAAAGACAAGGGATTCCAGTGATTTCGCATTCCAAGGGCAAGGAGAGATTCTGACCTTCTGAACCCCCAAACAGCATTTCTACTAAGGATTATTTTAATTTGGAATCCCAAGATTCTACTTTTAAAATAGGTATTTCCTTAGACCCTCCGTAAAGAAATTCCTATTGAATAAAGAAAATTTTAAAAAATGCATAAGATACTCCTCCTGGGCCTATCTGTCTTTATTATGTTCCTGAATTAGCTTGACTTGGGTCTTGGCTGGAAGTAGAAAAATTACATCCAACAGTTATGTAAGAGAATAGCTGAAAGCAATTGGATTAAAATATTTGAGCAGGTTAAGCCCAGAGAGGATATATCAAAATGTTGAGTACTG